TATTTACTCTGTGAAAAAGTTTCCAACATTAAAAAAAAACAAAAAATTATATCTTTATATTCCAGTTTAAATAAAAATACACAATCCGTTTATTCTATTTCGCTACCAGGAAAATAAATTTTCAGAATAAGGACAATTGTTAGAAAAAAAAAAAGAATTTTTTATCTCTAGAGAAGAAAAAAAAGTATGGAGAAAAGCTACTCTGCTACTTTAATTAAAGCAGAATCTTCAAAATGTAACTTTTCTTTTTTTCGAATCTGAATATCTTCTACAATAAAGCTTTTCGAACAATAAAGAGTATTATAAAGAGCGAGGAGAATATTTTTGTAATTCTTGAGAAAAACGAAAATTTGAATGAATCGAGAGAAAAAAAGGGAAAAAGAAAAAAAAGGAAAAAAAAGTAGAGAATTGTGTTGGAGGCTTTTGTGAATATTGGAATAACGCGTCTAGTGTATTCCCATTAAAAGTGAGGGCGGTTGAAGAGAGAAAAAAAGGAGATCGCGTTTCAGCAAAGGGTTGAGCAGCGATATTCATGCTAATAACTTCCGACAGTATTAATGTCGCACCCTGCACCGTCGCTACCTCTATTTTACTTGTGGGTGGAGGAGGTGGTTGCATCGCCTTGCACACAATGGGATTCCAGACAACGTTATACCCTCGCCTTATGTATACAGCGGAATAAAAGGATATAGCATACTGCTGCTTGGCACACAACCTCCTCTCTTATCTTGCCCGATATTATTAATAACACATTTATGGTAATACTTAGTCTTAGGTATTACGGTAATCAATATAATACCTCTGGCTCCTTACATATCTCAACGTGAATGAGGATTCAGAATCCTTGTACTCGTGGTTAGTTTGCCTAGCAAATACTCCACTTCCAGCTTTCCAACCACGATCTTCGACTTGAAGCCTAGATATCTGTCGAGGTTTAGTTGTGGTTTTACTCAACAATTTATCTCTCATGTAATTTACCATCAAAGCAGAGAAACGGAAAGAGAAAGAGGAAATTCAAGTTACAATTGATAAATAACTTTTGCAAACTGTTAATCAACATTTTTCCATTGCTCACTATTTCGAAGTGCGAATATCGTTTATCGAATATCGTTATAGATTTGTCAGCTATTTTCATCATTTTTTCCCTTTTTCGCCTTCTTTATGATTCGACTAGCAACAATTCGCGAGCGAATGAATAGCAATGAACTCACTTTTTTTAAAAATAAAATTAGCTTTAAAAATAATAGAATGTACAAATTTTGAATTCAAATTATTTTTCATAAAGATAAAATATTAATTGGAATACAGTTTTAATAGTGTTATAACTATAATAATCATATATTCTGAGACAGAGAATTTAGGGAAAAGTCAGAGATTTTTATTAAAAGTGCTGGAAAAAATTAAATTATTCGAATTCATAAGAAAATTCTGAATTTTGGTTTCTCTTTTGTTTGCGCCTCATAAACTATGAAATTACCACGAATTCTAATATAAAACCTTTAATTTTTTTTATTTCTGACAATAACTTCTTTCTAAATTACTTAATTCTCGAAGAACTATCATAACATTATTATTCATAAATTATTTCATGAATAATTTTACTTTAATATTTCAAAATTAATTGAAGAAGAATTTTAGTTAAAAACACTAAAACAATACAATTTTGGAAAAGTTGAAAATGATAGCAAAAATTCAATTATTTTCAAAAGTAATAAAATTTTTCGCATAAATTCAATTACGTTCAAAAATTCTCGTAAAAATTTCAATTATCTATATAAATAATAAAATTCTTCTCTGAAATTCAATTATTTTAAAAAGTTAAAAGAAAATTTTTTGCAAGAATTCAATTATTTTCAATATAATTGTAATTAAATTCCTCGAAAGAATTCAATTATATTTAATAATTTTAATAATGATTGCTTTAAAAAAAACAATCATTTTCAAAATTTAAAATACAAAATGCTTCAAAAAATACAATTATTTTCAAAAATTTTAATAAAACTCTTCTCAAGAATTCAATTATTTTCTCAAACAATACATTTTTTAAAAAGAAATTCAATTATTTTCAAAAATTTTGATAAAATTCTTCTCAAGAATTCTATTGTTTTCAAAATTTTTAATAAAACATTATTCATAAAAATTCAATTATTTTCAAAAATTTTAATAAAATTCTTGTGAAAGAATTCAATTATTTAAAAAAATTAAAAGACAATTTTTGCAAGAATTTAATTATTTTCAGTATAATTGTAATTAAATTCCTCGAAAGAATTCAATTATTTTCAAAAATTTTAATATTGATTGCTCTAAAAAATACAATTATTTTCAAAAATTTTAATAAAACTCTTCTAAAAAATTCAATTATTTAAAAAAAAATTTAATAAAATTCGTTGCAAGAATTTAATTGTTTTCAAAAATACTAAAATTATTCGCATGATTTAAATTATTTTTAATTCAATTTTTAATAAATTCCTCGATAAATGTAATAATTTTTTGAAATTTTATTGAAATTCTTGGAAAGAAATCAATTATTTTTATAACTGTTGATTACATTCTTTATAAGAATTAAATTTTAAGAAATTATCACTTATTCTTTCAATTATTTATTTTTCTATTTAAATAATTAAATTCTCGTAGAACTTTCTTATAAGAATTTAATTAAAAATGAATTCCAGTTACAAATTTTCGATAATAATTAAATATTAGAAGCGTTATGGTATTTCAAAAGATTTTTAAATTGAAATCTTTGAAAATTTGAATTTTTCATACTTTTAACTGACAATTGTGTAGAATTAATAATTTTATTGAAAAAGTTTAATTGTTTTTTTTTTAATTATTTGAAGTTTTTATTTTCTAATAAATATTTAATTGAAGAACTTCCGAGTAATCGAAATTTCGTAAAACTGAATTGTAATCAAACGAATTTGAACATTCTCAAAGAACTTTTTCAAAAAATTATTAAAAATCGTTGATTTAGAGGAGAATTTTAGTTAAAAATGTTAGAAAATAAGAATTGAATTGGAATGGAATGATGAAAATAATTTTGAAGAAGTTATAGCAACAATATTCTTATAATATAAAATAATGATTTTATCAGTCGGTCATTTTTAATTATTATAAAACATGAAGAAATCGATCACTCTGAGTCATTATACCTAGTTAATTAATTTTTGATGTCCTAAACAAATGTTTAAAAATGAAAACATAAATATTCAATCACAATTTTTAAAACACTTAATTTCTTCAGATTTTCTAAATTAAATTATTCAAAACGTCAATATTTTTGTTAAATTAATACTCAAGTGTTTCCTATTATTATTTATTTTTCCACAGGAATTAAAATTATATAATAATTAGCGCGCGGTACATGATATTTATTTTATTATTATTATGCAAATTACAAAATGTTTTATTTTCAAATATAAATTTTTTAATCATTTCATACTCAAAATTTAAAAAATTCACTTATTATGTACATAATTATTATTGATTATGTTTTCAAAAATTGTAATATAATTCTTGGAAAGAATTTAATTATTTTCATACATAATAACATTCTTCGGAAAAATTCAATTATTTTTTATAAAATGTAAAATATTTTGCAAATATTCAATTATTTTCTAAAATTTCAACTGAATTTTCTTTTAATTAATTCTTACCAGAATTTAACTACGAGAATTGAACTATTTAAATACAAAATTTTTTATATTTTATATATTTATTTTAATTTAAGTACTAACTGAATTACTTTTTTAACATAAACACAATTTCCATTTAGCCGAAATATAATTTGTTAACAATATTTTTTCACTACAAAATCATTTCTACAATTTCTACAAAATGACAACATTTTGGAAAAATGCTAATTTGGAAAAATAAAGAATCAATGAAATGAGGAATTTTTCATTTGTAAACTCAGTATTTATGAAAATTTATTCCTATTTTAAATTTAAAAAAAAGTTATTTAAATTCAAGAGTAGAGTTGAAAATGTTGAAATTAAAAAATATTTGCGTTTTTTAATGTTGAAATGATTTCAATAAAAGTGAATATAGATTTTTCAGTGATTGGTGAATTTTTATAAAAGTGAAAAATTGTCTCTTAACTGATGGAAACGACTTTATTTTATGAAAAAAAATTGAATTTCTCTTTGTTATTTTAGTCCAATTTAAAATATTTTCAAACTTTGAAAAATTTTATCACAACAGCTGTTACCAGAATTTTTTTTGTTACATTATTAGAAAGCTATTTTATAAGTTGACTTTATTTTTTTCAATTACCTATTGGCTTTTTATTGAATGCAGAGTAAAATAGAAAAGAGAGTGACGAATTTTTCTGTAATTTTCTATTAATTATTAACCAAATTTATAATAATCAAGGTAAAAGATTTATTTAATTCAATTGTTATTAAATATTCACCAAATTCACAAATAACTCCATATTATTTTTTGTATTAGAATATTTTAAATTTTATTCGATTTTATTCTATTTTTAACAGATAGAAATAATTATTTCCGTAGAAAAAATTATTTACTTGATAATTTAATTTTTTCCAACTTGAAAACCAATCTCTCCAAATTTGACTTTATTTAATCGAAATGATAAACAAATGATTTGACATTCAATTAATTTCTCGTAATTATTTCCAAAAATTCTTATTAAATTGAAAAGAATTTAAAAATGAAAAATATTTCAATAGATGAAATTTTACTAGTGAATATATGACTTTTTTTTATTAAAGTGTTTGCAAAAATACCAAAATGGGAAAAAATCCGGAATCATGATTATCCTGAAAGCTTCAAATCCCCTTTTACTTTTTCATCACTAGTGAAAAGCTTTTATTTTTAATTTTTGTATTTACCTCCTTTCATGGAATATAATAGAGAGAATTTCATATACCGTGTATTTTCTCACCAAATAATTATAAAATATTCATGTCAGAATAAATCAATAATTTCAACAAACAAGTAGAAATAAAAAATAAAAAGTAGAAAAAAAAACTTACCTTGCAGCACGAAAAAGTCCAATCGACTCCTCGAGTTGTTTTTTGCGAAGGAATATTTGAATTCTCTTCATGGCATCATTCCTGAAAGAAAAATAAATTAATATTTTACACTAATTAACAAAACAACTAAAATGTTATAATTAAATGAAAAAAAAAATTGAGAGAAAGAGAAAATAAAAATGAACATCAAAGAGAAATGAAATTTACTTTTGCTCATCTATTGGGGTGTCCAGTGTGGCATCAAAAGGCATCACAACTGGAATCTGATTTGATTGCATAACAGCTGACAATTCTGGTCCAACATCATCCCATCGATCTTCCAAACTCAGTACAACTGGCGGTGCTTGTGATTTTCCTTTGACAGGCTCTATACAAAAATTGAGAGAGAGAAAAAAAGTGCTTGAAATGACAAGAAAGATGTTGATATATTATTGCAGTCAAAAGATGTTCAGGTGAAAAAAAATCAAGAAAAAAAGAGAAAGAGACAGAGAGAGAGAGAGAGAAAGAAATAAAGCACCCGCAAGACTATTGATTTTTCTCTGTGCAAATATATACACCAACGATAAATCTAATTCGCGAACCTCGTTTCCTAAACGAATTTCATTTCTCCCTATAAGATGAATCTGTCAATTTATAGTCGTCTTGAAATTTTGTTAGAAAAGATCTTCGAAATCAATATCCGCGCGATATATAAATATTGTATGTATGTGCAAGTTGAACTTCAATTTAAAGTAATATAAAATTTTGTAAATTTGATATACCAGAATATCTCTCTCTATATATAAATGAAATAAAATGGAAAATTCAATTTCAAAATTCCATATTTATAAGCAAAGAATATTACGTGATTTCGAAGTAAACTCACTTTTCGTGCGTTTCTTGGATTTTTTCTTTTTATTCTGAACAATAACGGTTCTTCCTTTACCGCAAAAATGCTCAAGGGTTTTCAGGAAAATGTGTGTCGTCACCGTGAGATCGACGAGATATGCCCTGAAAAAAATGAAAATAAATCAAATTCTGTGATTTTTCAAATTTTTAATTTATCAACTATACGAAAAACATGGTTAATATAATCCATAAATAATTATACAATTTCAGGCATCGAATCCATGGTGTACTATTTTCGTTCAACAAAATTCCCGATTTTAATCCTAATTTTTCCCGGTTTTTTTTTCTCATCAAATTTAAATTTATTTAATTTCGAACATAAATAAATCTACAAATGGCTTCCAAAATTTCTATTAGAGTTTTTATGAATAATTAAATAATTTTGACGAGTTTATTTAAATTTTTTGAAAATAATGTTTTTTGAATAATTTTAATTAAAAATTTGGAAAATAATTGAATTAAACAAAGAATTTTTTCAATTTTTTTAAATAATCTTGTCTGTTTATAATTATAATTGAAAATTTGATTAATTCAATCTTATTAAAATGTATTGATATCTACTAATTGAATTTTCCAAAGAATTTTACTGTTTATAAAAGTAATTGAATCCTTCAAAAGAATGTTATTATTCGAAAATAAAATTTTTACCAAGTGATAAATTCTTTTAAATATAGAATGTTATTATTTATGAAAATAATTAAATGTTTGCGTAGAATTTTATTAGAATTTTTGAAAATAATTGAATTGTGGAGAACAATTTAATTATTTATAAAAATAATTGAAATTTTGAGAAGAATTTAAAAAAATTTTTAAACATAATTGAATTTTTGAGAAGAATTTTATTACTTTTGAAAATAATTAAATTTTTTTTAGAATTTTATGGATATTTATGAAAATAATTGAATTCTTGTGAACAATTTCATTATTAAATAATATTCAAAAGAATTTAGTACCTAAATCTGAAAAATTTTGCTATTTATGGAAATAATTGGATTCTTTCGGCGAAGTTTAATCAAATTTTTCAGAATAATTACATTTTTCGTGGAATTCGATTAAAATTGTACCTATTAAAAATAATTGAAATTCTGCAATGAGTTTTACTATTTATGAAAAAAATTGAATATATTGCGAAGAAATTATTAATTCAGTGTATTTTCAAAATTTGTATTTAAAATTCTTCAAAAGTTAATTTTTAAAAATTGTAACAAAATACTTTAAAAAAAATAATTATTTTTAATTAAATTCTACAAAATTTCAATTATTCAAAAAAATTTTTATTATAGATTTGAAAAATTTAATTCAGTGTTGTTACAAAAATTTTATATTGTATTTCCTTGACATTTTAGTTCTTTTTAATTTTAATTACTCAAAACGTAAATAATCTCGTAAATAAATATTTAAATACTTCGTATTTGTTTTTCCACAGGAAATAAAATTTTTTTAAATTTCAATTTAAAACCTTCTGGAATTTTATAATTTCTAAAAATTACAAATATAACTCTAAAAAAATTCAATTATTTTTTGCAATTTTTAACGAAACTTCAGTTCAACTATAAATCAATTATTTTTATTAATTTTCCGAAAGATAATAGTTTTTCAATTATACAATTGAAAAATTTCCAAACAATTGAAATTTATTGGTAAAATCTTTTAAAATAATTGAAATTTAGTAAAATCTTTTAAAAATAATTGAAATTTATAGTAAAAATCTTTTTAAAATAATTAAATTTTTGAAAAACTAATAAAAAAAATAATCAATATTTTAGAAAAATTTTAATTATAAATATGAACATGATTTCTCCGAAATTTTAAAAAGTCCAAAAAAAAAAATTATAATTATTAATAAATCTTTTACGTCCGAGAAATATTAATTATATTAATTATTTAATTTATTTTTTGATTGAGAAATGTTAAAAATATTTTTTTGGTATTTTTGTATATTTTTTTTGTATATTATTTTATATTTTTTTGTACATTATTTTATATTTTTATAGACTCCCTGAAGAGGAAATCAGTTAGATTTCGAAACGTTGAAGTAAACTAATTTTTAAAAACTATTTACCCGAATGTTTTCGTTTTATTCTCCTTCACTATAATAAATTTTAAGAAATTTTAATTTACTTTGTTCGAAGATAATTAAAAAATGATGATAAAACAATTCTAAGAAATAGTTTTTTTTTTTTAATATTCTTATTTATTTTTTCGAAAATAATTGAATTTCTTAAAAGAATTTTTGTATAATTTATCGAACGTTTTGCGCTCAATAATTATGAACGCTTTGCGCTAAATTAGTTTAATTTACTAACATACATATTATTAAAATTTTATTAATTCTTTTGAATAAAAAATATTTCATTCATTTGAAAGTTTAAAACTTGTGTAAGATTTTTTAATTTAATTGAAATTCGATTTGATTAAATAAAATTGTTACTAAATGAAAATTACATTAAAAGTAAATTAATAAAAAATCGATTTTTCTATAGATTCGATTGAATTTCAAATTCTGTTAAAATTCAATTAAATAAAAATTATATTTCATGGAAATTTTTTGGAAATACCAAATTTCTAATAAGTAACTGAAATTCCTTCAGAATGTGAATTTTCGTTTATTTTAATTTCGATTCTAGTAAAATTCTGCGTAAAACTAAAATTCGGTAAATTAAAAATTCTATTTACATAAAAATTATGTGAAATAAAAATTCTTGTTCGATTAAATGAAATTATGTTTATTTAAATGTCTATTAAAATTCTGTTTCATTGAAATTTGATAAACTGAAAATTCTACTACCAGGGAAATTATGTAAAATAAAAATTCCGAATAATAGAAATTCGGCAAAATGAGAACCCTAATGAATTAAAATTATCCGAAAATTAAAAATAAATAACTCTTTGTTATTTAAATTCGGTTCAGTGTTAGTTTTTACAAAAAATTGTAATATTAAATCTCTCAGACTTTTGCAATGTGAAATAAATAAATTTAATTTCCGATATTATGAAAATCTCTCTCGTAACATGATTAAAGAAGGGAAATATAAAGTAATAATTGAATAAGTGCGGAGAATGGACTCTCGATGAGGGTGGGGTATGAGAATGCTTTAAATTTCAAGAAAATGAAGACGAACGGAATATCCTCTGACATATTATCGGAAGTTGAAACGAGAACGCATTAAATTCCCAGAGTGATTCGGAATTTCCATTTATTTTGTGTGTGTGTGTTGTCTCGAAAATACTAAAAGCTGTCAAACTCGAAATGAGTTGAATGTCCCGAGATTGTGGAAGATAGACAGAAGTTGTTTATTTCAAACTAGAAAACGAAAGGGAAAGGACTCGCAGTACAAAGAATGAAAGGCGAGAATAAAGAGTGTGAGACTAAAAAGGAATGAAGAAGAGAACAGAAAGTGAAATAAAAAAAGAAAAAAAGAAAAAGAAAAATGGAAAAGAGGATGAGGTGAAAACTCACAGACGGTCAGACGATTGACCCAAAGTTGGTTCAATGTGTTTGCAGTTGATAAAACTTCTCGTAAACAGTTACTTCTTTTTGACAAGTTTCAGCCAATCATTATGAACTTCCTTCTCTCACACTCTCTAAACCATCGACATTGATCTAACTTTAATTTAAAAAAGAAATCTCATTCGAGATTTATCAAATTTGACATATAAATCAGATAAAACTTTTGAAATTTATTACATTGACAATGACAATTTAATAAAATATATTTTCTTTTTTTTCTGATATTCCTGCATGAGTGAATTTTTCTCTGAATATGAAAAGAAAAGAATTTCTTATAAAACAAGTTCTTGAAATTATCTCGGAGGCTTGTCCTTTACACCTTTTCTGGTATTGGAAAACTTGTCATGAAAAGAGGGGACGACGCGGGGGAATGCTTTGAGAATATGCCAAGCTGATTTTAGACGCAAATGTTCCCTGAGAACATTCTAGGGTGATTTTCAGTTTGAATGGTTTCATCGAAACATCTCCAACTGCATTACTTGTTGAGAGATTACGATTTCCTCGCTTCAGCTGCCAAGGGTTGAAAAGACAACCCCTAAAGTAATTTCAAAAGCTTGTTATCAAAAGGGGAGTGTTGTAAGCAGTGCAAGTTCTCTTGCCATCAGAAATATTTTTAATTGTTATATCATTAACAGTTTAACTTCGAGAACAAGACATTTTCAACTATGCAATCTATTCAACTTTATATTATAATAAATCTAGCAAATGTTACGCGCGCGGAACAAGATTTTCCATTTATTATTATTATTATGCAAATTACAACATTTCTTTATTTTCAAATATAAATTTTTCAATAATTTCATAATCAAAATTTAAAAAACCCACTTATTAAGAACATAATTAATTATTATTGTTTATATTTTCAAAATTTTTAATATAATTCAATTATTTTCGTAAATAATAACATTCTTCAGAAGAATAATTATTTTTATAAACAGTCAAATCTTTTGAAAAAATTCAATTGTTTTCAACAAAATCTTTATTAAATTTCATGAAAGAATTCAATTATTTTCTAAAATTTTAATAAATCTTTCGAAAAATTCAATATTATTTTTTTAAAATAGTAAAATCTTTACAAGAATTCAATTATTTTTAATAAAATTTACGACGAAAGAATTCAATTATTTTCTAAAATTTTAATAAATCCTTCAAAATAATCCAATTATTTTTTTAATTTTTAATAAAATTTTTCGAAAGAATCCAATTATTTTCAAAAATTTTAATAAATCCTTCAGAACAATACAATTATTTTTGTAAGTAGTAAGTAAACAATTTTTAAAAGTAATAAAATTAAATTCCTTACAATATAAAATTTATTTCAATAAAATTTGACAAAATTTTCAATTATTTCAATTTTTTTAAAATTATTTTTAGATAGGTATTTAATTATCTTAAAAAGCTTTAAATTACATTTTTTCACAAGACAAATTGTTTGTTGAATTATATTCAAAACTTCAATATTTTTTGTTAAAGAAATATTTAAAAACCTATTTGTTATTTATTATAATTGAAATTTCCAAGAATTTCAATGTAAAACCTTTTGAAATTTTATTATTTCTAAAAATTACAACTGCAATTATTTTCCACAATTTTTTAATAGAATTATTCAAAACATTAATCATTTTTAAAGGAAAATGGAATTAAAATTTCAAAATACTGTCAATGTAAAACCTGCTTTTGAAATTTAATTAAAATTAGAACTGCAATTCTTCCAATTCTTAAAATATTTTCTAAAATTTTAACTGAAATTCTTTTTCATAACAATTCTCATCAAAAAGTTGTACGAGAATTCAGTTATTTAAATACTAAAATAATTGATTATTTCTAAAAATTGCAACTGTAATTCTACATAATGGATTTCTTTTAATTTGAGATATAAAATTCATAGACTATTTAAGATTTTGAATCATGTAATATTTTTTAGATAAAATTTCATTATTCCTCTGTCCTGTGAAAATCCTGTTATTAGCAAAATTCTAGGGGAATTAATTTCACTAAAACACTAATCACTCTATTTACAAATTGATTGTCAAACTCTTAACATGGCAGTTTGAGCTGTAAAACAATTTGGAGTCAAAAAGCCTTAAATTCACGAGAGAACAGAATAAGTCGGTTATTATATAAAATAATAATAATAATAATAATAATAATAATAATAATTAAAAGTAGAATATAAATTTCATTTTTCTAAAAGTCTTTAATAAATTTTGTTTTACAAATTTCCTTATTTTATATTCCTCCAGATTTTGATTTCTTTAAAAAAAGCAAAAAATTTTAAAATTTGAAAGTAATTAATTAGAATTATATAATAATTAATAATAAAATCTGAATAAATAAATTAATTAATTAATCTTGCTATCATGTAAATCAAATTTATTCAAATGTAAATCCAAACCTCGACATAACCTTTTGAAAAATTTCCAAATTTTTAAAAATTGTGGATCAGTATATCGAAACTCTGCGTTAATAATTAATTCTTAACAATAAGTTACTATATTTTTTTCAATATGTTATTATTTTTGTTTTCTACACTCATAGATTGTATGTACGCCCAAAAATGGTTCGTCAGGACCGCGGGTATACAAATGTACAGAAATAAATAAAATAAATAAATAATAAAATAGTGAAAGCTGAATAAGCAAAAAATAAAATGATGGAATCTAAATAAGTAAATAATAAAATAAATTTATACACAAAATCTAAATTTAAAATTCCATAACTTTTCAAGATTTTCCAGCTTAAATTTCGGAAAATTATACATAATTTAACGCCTGTTTATAAATTTAGAAGCAGTAAAAAGCAGAAAAGTTAACCAAGAATTTAAAGTACATTCGAATATAAAATGCAATAAGATATTAAAATAAAAACTTTAAAAAAGTTATGGATTAAATATAAACTGTAATTATTTGTAGAACTTTTTGTCTTAATGTCAAAACTCTTTTTTAGAATACATAAAAAACTTTTATTAAAACTTATAGAATTCTAAATTTTGAAAATTTCAAATTGTGGACTGAAAGAAAAATTGCTGTTATTATTATGACTAACTTTATTATTATTAACTGATATTTATTATTATTATTATTATTATTATTATTATTATTATTATTATTATTATTATTATTATTATTATTATTATTATTATTATTATTATTATTATTATTATGCAAATTACAAAATTTTTAATTTTCAAATATGAATTTTTGAATAATTTCAGATTCAAACTTTTAAAAAATTCAATTATTAACTAAAATTTACTAATAAATTATTCTTGTTTATTAATTTTTAAAATTTCAATAAATTCTACGCAAGAATTGTAATAATATAAATTTTTTGCAAAAATTAAATTATTTATTTTTAATCAAAATTTTAATAAATCCTTCGAAACAATTAAATTATTTTTTCAAATAGTAAAATCTTTGCAAAAATTCAATTATTTTCGTAAATAATAAAATTCTTCGAAGGAATTCTATTATTATCAAATTTTTTGATAAAATTCTTTACAACAATTCAATGATTTTCAATTCATTAATTTTAAAATTGAAAATATTTAAAAAGAAAAATTATTAAAAAAGTTAAGAAACAAAAAAGCAAACAACAACTAACTTTAAACTGTGGACAGATTACCGGAATTATTGGATATAAAACAAGATATTTTCCTGAATTTATTTTGACTTTTCGACCTAGATGGGTTTTTTTTAAATTCAAAAAGCCACAAAATGAGAAAAAAAATTGCCGAATTTCCAGAAAGTCTATTACTTTTGGAATTTAATTTAATATTCATCGAATTTCAAATCTAGAAACATATTGAGACATAAATAAAAATTCCCGAAGGGTAGAAAAATAAAGTACCATTTCGTTTCAAATTGACCCAGTATTCCAAAATCGTGACGAGAGATAAATAACTCAACCGAATATTAGATAAATAAAGTGCGGATCGTGTCCACAAATAAGTAATGTCAACCAAACAAAAATTAACATTATTAACCAAATATATTTTAAATATTAAAAGAGTAAAAAATATAAATAAAAAACAAAAAAATATAAACATCAATTAAAATTAAGATTTGCTTTTCCAAAATATAAATAGAAATTAAAAAATATGAATAAAAAATACATAAACTAAAATAAAGAATATAAAAAATTATTTGTAACATAATTAAATGGAAACGTTACAAGTTATTTAATTTCTCTCAATATTGAAACAATGGTCAAAATGCAAATAAATAAAAAAAAAACATGAAATCAAGTTGATACGAACCTCGGCATTTTTAGTTCATTGAAACACAGCAGCTGGGAAAGTATCGTTTCCCGATATTCAGGAACATAGAATATATTACTCTTGATGACTTTGCTCGAGTTTTGAACGCCTTTGTCTGGACTTTTATCCATTGCCAGTAATGTATGAAGCAACTCCTAGAACACGAGTAATTTCACTTTACTACCCGCCGGGTCTTTTGACAAAGGTGAGAGATAAATAAATTTTTAATTTAAAATATATAGATGAGAGAGAGAGTTAAGAGAGGAAACGAAATATTCTTCACCTGGTACGCTTTCAAAGCAAGATGCAATCTTCCCGACCATAACTGGGTCTTTTTCTTCTCCAATGACAATATCTCGTAATATTCCTCCATTTGTCTCTGGACGAGATGAAATATTTCTGTTGATATTGTCTCGCTGAAAAATTAATGTCACATAAAATTAATCATTTTTTTTCTCTTAAATTAATACCTAATATTTGAGAATAAATTGTTTCAAGTGAAGTGAACGTTTTAACATCTATTTTGATTTAAATAAAAGAGAGGAATTTTTTTTTCTCATAATTTTTTCCATTTCATTTTTAAAAATAATTTTAAAAATTCCCATTGTTTATTAGAAATACCTTTTATTATATTTTACTGTCTTTTTAATTTTTAAAATCAAGAGAATTTTTTCAAGCATTCGTGGCAAAAAACTAAACAAGTTTTATTTCATTTCTGATATTTGCTCTTTATCGTTTTGAATTACGAATTTAAAGCACAAAATGAAATGGAAAGCGAGTTATATATTTTTTTTCCCCTCGAAATTTCGTTTATTTATTTTTCCTTTTTTTTTTGTTGTTCTTTCTAGCATCGGAAAAAAGCATCGATGCGTAAAACGAGTTTGCGAACTATCGAAAATCCGCGCAGTGTCGTGGGAATAATACGAATGAAATCTACCTCACGTATTTCACATGAAACTTGTAATTTCGATTGAACTCCATAAAGAAACGCATTGCCCAAAGGTAGAAACGTGCATCAACATGTCCATCAGAATTGGCATTATTTATACAAGATCTCGTGTATCTCATCACTGGATTGTAAGCGCCTAAGGATCATAAAATGAAATTCAATTAAAATTGCAAAAAAAAGAACAGGGTTGACACAAAAATTTAATCTTGTTTTTCCCTAATTTCCAGACAAAATTTTTACTTTTTCTCTGACCCTAAAGAATATTCTTATTGTTACTGTAACTTCTTCAAAATTATTTCCATCATTTTAATTCAATTATTTTTAGTTTTTAACTAAAATTCTTCTTTAAATCAATTATTTTTAATAATTTTTTAAGAAGTTCATTGAGAATTTTCAAATCCATTTGTTTACAATTCAATTTCACGAAATTTCGATTATTCGGAAATTCTTCAATTAAATAGGCATATATTAGAAAATAAAAACTACAAAAAATAATTTAAAAAAAAATTAACTCCTTCGCTGTTTGGAAAAATACTCATTTTAGTGGCCCAAAATGTCCATCAAAATCTTTTAAATTGTTATATTACTTAAAAATAATAAACAATTATTTATTTATTACTTTTTCTAGTACCATTGATACCTATAGTATGTGAATAATGATATAAAAGAATTTATTTTATAATTTAAACAACAAATTTCTATTATTTGCTAAAACTTTCACGACCCAACGTTGGGTCGGAAACAGTCTGGGCCATCTTTTTTCACGACCCAACGTTGGGTCGCAAACAGGCAACGGGTTAAATTAATTCAATTACTAAAATACAAAACTAAATAATTTATTGAATAATATTCAATGTTTCTTAAAGTTTAATTACCATAAAGAATTTTATCAAAAAATTTTTAAACAATTGAATTCTTTTGACGAATTTTAATCAAATTTTTAAAATTTGTTAACATAATTGAATTTCTACGAAGAATTTTATTACTTTTGAAAAAACTTGAATTTCTCCAATCATTTGTAACATTGTACGTGGAAAATTAAATTTCGCAAAAATTGTTATTTGATACTTTCATTTTCAAATTACAAATAATCTTCATTACGAAAATTTTAATTATTCAAAGAATAGAAAATGTAAAAAAGTGATTATACATTGAACTTTTTGAACAAAGAATGTAAATAATAATTGAGGCCTTGGATCCAATAACTCGCCCGACGCTCGGAGGAACGCGCAACTGCCAGTCAGTGAGCAGTGAGCGCCTCTGGGCCACTCACTGCTACCCGACTGGTATTGGCGCGTGCCTTCGAGCGTCGGGCGAGTTATTGAATCCAAGGCCTCAATTCTTTTGGAAAACAAAATTCAAAATACATATCTGTAGTAAAAAAAATAACTTCAACTTGCATTAATTATTTTATTGTAATATATAATTTCAGAAGAATTTGAATTATTAAAATTTTTCAAAAATTTCTAATTAAATTCATTCAAAATTGAAATTCTCTAAAATTTCAAATTGAAACCTTTTGAAGTTCAGCTTTATGAAAAGTATAAACTCAACTCTTTTAAAATTCAATTAATTTTAAAATACTTAAGTAAAATTATTAATTAAATAATTAATAAGTAATAATTTTATGATTGTTCTTCAAGAATTAAATTATTAAAAAAGAAATTATTGTCAGAAGTAGAAAAAGTTGAAGGTTTTTTTATTAGAATTCGTGTTAATTTCATAGTTTATGAGACAAACAAAATAAACCAAAATTCAGACTTTTCTTATGAATTCTGAAAATTAAATTTTTTTTCAGTACTTTTAATAAAAATTCCTGACGTTTTGTTGACCTTGACGTTTTAAATAATTGAATAATATTTAGAAATGGATATACAATTCTCTATTAAATCAATCATCCAATTTCTACTCCCAACTAAAATCAACTTCTTAATTAAAATTCAATTAATATAAATATTTTTCTCTCTTCACTTTACCATTTTTCATTATCTCTGAATTTAAATTTTAATGGAATTTTAATATTAAAGGGGGGAAAAAAAGTGTTACCATTCAGAAACTCGACGCAAAATTCCTTTAGGAATAGCCTCACACTGAATGCGGAAACGCGTTCTACCATAGTATCAGCCATGGCTCTCCTATTTTTCGGTTTTTTCACCTTCATCTGAAATCAATCGAGCAAAATGAATTCAAAAAACTTTATCTCTTACAGAGAAAACTTTTAGGAAAAAAAAAATGTTTTTTCAACGATATTTTTATCGTTTTTCCACATTGTATAACTAATCGATAATACTATAAATATAAAACTTTTTCATATTTCCAACCTCAAATTTTATCAAAAAATTAAAAAAATATATGTTTAAATTAATTTATAACTGAATTTAATATTTTTACAATTTTTATAAATTGAATTTTATTAGAAAAAATGTTTCCATTTCATTTATTAAATTTTTAAAACTATTTAAATAGAAAAAACTTTATTCATACGGACGCAAAATGATAAAAATTGTTTCTTAAATTATTTTCTGAATTTACTAGAAAAGTTAATAAAATGTGAGGAAATGCAGAAAACAATTTAGAAAATATGAAATTGTCCTTAAGGACTTCCGAAAGAACTGAAATAGAAATGGTTTTCTTTAAAAATAAAGATTTATCCTCTGCTCAAGAGCATTATTCAAATGCACATAAAGTTATTTCACATAAGAAAATCTACATATTTGAAAAAAATTCTAGAAATTCACATTTCTTCGAATTTTTTTTCCAAACCCCCACAAACTTCAGCTTCATTTTAAAAAGTTATTCCCAAAAAAAAACTCTGAAGAAATCTCAAAAAAAATTGAGGGAGTACACAAAAAAAAAAGAAAATCCACTCAAAGGAAAGAAATTTCGCTTTTTCTAAAAAGAAATGAAAATAATACTTTTTTATTCCAGTTTTGACGGGACGAGAACTTTGAAATTTAACAAGAAGTTTAATTAAAAACCACACGTTATCTCAAAAAAGAAAGAAAAAACCTATTCGTCGGTTAGAATTATCCTCTCTCCCTTTATATTCCTCGCCAAAAGGTTTTGACCCACATTCTAAATAGCATCAACTATTTTAAATTTTAAATTTCGGCCAAACAAAAAAGAATGGCACAGACAACGAAAAGCAACAGCGAAATAAACTTAACTTTTTTTTTTATTTTAAAAAAGAAAAAAAAGAGTAACAATAAATTATTAACTTAAAGAAATGTAACCCTTGGGAATGTTACAATAGTTGGGACATTTCAAGTGAAATATCGTATGAAAGACCATAATAATGAAACGCGAAATGGATCCGCTTAAAAGTTTTCACAGTCACTAGACAAAGATGCCTCGACAAGGGTCTCTAATACTAGAAGAAAAACTCATAGTACGAGCCAGTTGACCTAGTTTTAAATGCTTCAACCCGTTAGAAAAGAGCAGACTCTAATTACCCAAGGATAGATCTAATTAACAGTCGTACATTTTCTTGAAAATTTTCCAACCGCTAATGAAACTTATCGCGAATATCGCACGTCTAATTGAATAACCCCTTTCCTCCTTCCATCATCCCTAATATAATCATTTTTAAAGAAAAATATATTAAAAGCAAAACTTTTCATTTCTTTATGCGATAATATTCTTTTTTCTCTTCCATTTCATACCTTTTCCGTGCCAAATTCAAGAGCCTCGATTTTCTGATAAGGCTTGTGGCAGATCAACTGGTTTTCTCCTATTGCCTTCATATTCTGCACAATATAAGTGCCACCAAATCTCGAGTGCCTGCAAGAATATAGAAAGCTTTTTAAAATCAGTTTTCTCTCCTTAAAACGAGAAAAAAGAAAGTAAATAACAACGAAAAATATTCAAATCGAGTAAATTAAAAAGTTTATTTTGAATTTCAGAAAAAAGAGGAAATATTTAAATCGAGCAAAAAGTTTTTGAGCGACGTAAAATAATAAAACTTTACAGTATGTAAAAGTAAAACTATACTATTAATGTTAATCTACTTTGTATTTCATGCTTACGTTGGAGGATTATTTTAAATAATAGATTTAGAAGGGAGAAACTTGGTAAATTTAACTTCACTTGGCAAGTAAAGAAACCCAAAGTTAAGCAAAATAAACTGATACCACACAATCTCAAGTGTTTTGAAAAGGGGATTGTTAATTTTTCTCTTATTTTTTTTTAATTTTTACTTCTCAAAGAAAATAAAGGAAAAATATTTTCGAATACCATATTTTTTATTTAAAGATTAAAAATTAACAGCATTCGAAAGAAAAAGTTTTTTATAATAATTTAATTATTAAAAAAAACCGACAATTAAAAATAAAAGTAAAAAATTGAAGCAAAAGAATACAATTTAATCTCAAGTATACCCTATACTTTAAAAATCCAGTTATTAATTTTAATTCTACACTTTTTCAACAAAAAAATATTCTGAAAATATAGGATTTACTAGTTATTTTACAGGACTCAGATCGATTCACTTTTTTCAAAGTTGTCTAAAAATTTTTATTTTGTAATTCTCTGTTCTTTCCGATTTCTTTTTGAGAATTTCAATAATTTTGTTAAATTTATATTTAAATACTTCTTATTTATTCTTCCACTCGACTTAATATTTTTTAAATATCCATTTCATTTTCCAAAAATATTTTCAAATAATTTTAGGTCGAATCTTTTAAAAATCTAGGTAATTGAATTTTTAAAAAACAAAAAAAATATCTATTTTCAGAAAATAATTCACTTTCTTAAAAGAATTTTTTCATAATTTAAAAACAGCTAATTACATTTTTGAAGAATTTTAATTTAAAATTTTGAACATCATTGTTTTTGCCAAAATGTTTAAAATAATTCTAAAAAAAATTTAAACAATTTAAAAACATGCAAAAAAACTTTTTTGCATGTTTTTGAATTTTTAGAAATATGTAATTGAAAATGACTTTTTAACAAAATATTTTAAAACAATTTTCATGAAGTTTCATTTTCAAATTTTTTATTAAAATTTTCTAGAATTCAATTATTTTTAAAAATTTGCAATTAAAACGCTTCAAAATTTGTTTTTCAGTTAGTTTTTAAGAAGTACTTAAAAAAAATTATTTTTAATACAATATTACTTATTCAATTATTTTTAAAAATTTTATAAAAATTCTTAACAAGAATTCAATTAAGTATTTTTGTAAATAATAAAGTTATTCTCAAGAATTCAATTATTTTTTAAAACTTTAATAAAATTCGTTGCAAGAATTCAATTATTTTCATAAATAATAAAAATCATTGCAGGATTTCAATTATTTTTAATACAATTTAAAATTAATTCCTTGAAAAATGAAATTATTTTTTAAAATTCTTCTCAAGAATTCAATTATTTTTATAAATAACAAAATTATTCTCTGAAATTCAATTATTTTTTTATATTTTAATAAAATTTGTTGCAAAAATTCAATCATTTTCATAAATAATAAAAATCATCGCAGGATTTCAATTATTTTTAACTCAAATTTAAATTATTTCCTCGAAAAATGCAATTATTTTTATTTTTAATTATTCAATTATTTTTATAAGAAATAAAAATCATCGCAGGATTTCAATTATTTTAAATACAATTTAAAATTAATTCCTTGAAATATGCAATTATTCTTTAAAATTCTTAAAAATTTTGATTAAGCTCTTTACAAGAATTCAATGATTCATTAAATTATTTATTTTTGTATTTAAATAATTGAATTCTCATAGAAATTTCTAATAAGAATTGATTTAAAATCCAATTTCATTAAAAATTTAAAATAATCATTGAATATTAGAAGCGTTAAAGTGTGATTTTTTAGAAATAATTAAATTTCAAAAAATTTAATGAATTTAAATATTTGAAAATTTTTAATGGTTATAAAAATCTAATAATAATTCAAATTTTTATTTTAAAATAAAATTATTAAAGTTTTGAATAATTTTATTTAAAAATTGCAACATAAAAGTGGTAAAATTTTAGAAGAATTACAGTTGTAATTTTTAAAAATAGTTAAATTTCAAAAAGACTTTACATTGAAATGATTTAAAACGTTTTAATTCCTGTGGAAAAATAAATAATAATTGTATTTAATTAAATATGTATTTATTTTAAAAAATTATTCTATTTCTGAATATAATTTAATTTAGAAATTATGAAAAAATTGAGTAGTCGAATTTAATTTTTCGATTGCTACATTTTTACTACTTTTTTAGTCTTAAAGCTACTTTTTTAAAATTAATTATCGAGAACGAAGCCTGAAAGAAACTCTTGTAATATTTTTGTTATTCTTTTCTAACAATTTTTATTTTATCATTTAATTTTAAATTTTGAAGAAAAAATTATTTTTATAATTTTCAATTCATACAAGTTGTGGAAAAAAATTTATTTCGTTGATAAATTAATTTTTATTCCAAAGTTATTTTTTGAAATGAAAATTTGAATTACTGGAGAAGAGAAAATATTTCCCTATGTTCTTTATTTAAAAAGAAGTTGTTTAATGAAAAGAGAAGAAATGAAAGAAAGTTCATAAAAGTGTTTGAATTTATTTTTTCTTTGTCATTTTGCAGTAACTTTCTTTTTTAGTTAAAAAGAAGACATGTAGAACGTAAAAGTGTTTAAATTCAAATAAAATGTTTCCATTAACATGAGTCGAGCATTTGTTATTCAAAATTACAAAAATTATTCAAAACTTTAATTTTTGTAGATTTGATTATAGTTTTCGTTTAGAGTACAAATTCGAAATAAATTGCATTTTATACTAAAAAGTGTTCTTTCAGCATTTGTTAGAATTGTCAAAAAAAGTCACCTTTTTTGATTACTTTCGCGAAATCTACTTTTTAACGAGAATTTTTTAATAAGCAAAGGGAAATATGAAAATATGATCCATTGGAAAATTACATTTCAGTTATTCGCTAATTAAAAATCAAGTTCGTGAATCGACACCACAGTCGTGGATTAAGACATAATCCGATTAAAATTTAACGGCAGGAAGATAGCTTGGTGTTTCTATCCAAGCTTGATCGGTTAAGCTTCGTCGTGTTAAAACAACTACGAAGAATTGAAGGAACCTTATAGCAAATTCAGGATTAAAGGCTTTTCCAAAGGCCTTCCTCTAACGAAATATACGACCTTTATTTCTCGCAATTTATTATTCAACAAGTGTACTGCAAAAAAAGAATAGAATGAAAAAATGAAAAATCATTTTTCTCCAGAATTAATTCATATATCCTTGACCAATTTTTCTTTTTACCTCCCTTGAATTTATTTTCAGTTGGGAAAAAGCTTAATGAATGAAGATGAATTTTAATAAAAGGGGCAGAATCTCAAGTATTTCTAAAGAAAAAGAAGAGCGACGGGGAAATTAAAAAATTACTTTACACAATCTCAAATATGAAAAAATAAGAAAATCAAAAATTATTTTTATCAATTTTCTTTCAGTATCCAAACTCCGAACTCGATAATTAATTTTAAAAAAGTAGCTTTCAAACTTGACAACCAAAAAACTCGTTTTAGACACTTCACAAAACTGACAAAAATCCCATTACATATTTTTTATTTTCCTGACTTTTTCCTAATTTTCATCAAAAATATTTACTTTTTTCTTATCCTGCTAATAAATTGAATTCCTGCAACGAATTTTATTATTCACGAAAAAATTTCAATATTTATAAAAATAATTTAATTCTTGCGAAGAATTTTATAAAAAAATTTTAAATATTGATTTATTCGACTTATTTTAATGCAATTTCTAATTTAAATAATTAAATTCTGTTTGAAATTTTTATGAAAATAGTAGATATTGAAAATCATTGAATTGCGAAAAGTTTTTAAAAACAATTAAATTTTACAAAGAATTCTATTAAAATTTTTGAGAGATTGAATGACTACTGTGTGGTATATTATTTAATTTTTTTGGAAATAATCGAATTCCTAAAAAGCATTTTATTATTTATGAAAATAATTGAATTTTTGCGAACAATTTTATTAAATTTTTTTAAAATAGTTGAATTTCCAAGACAAAATATATTACTTTTAATAATAATTGAATTCTTCTGATGAATATTGTTAGTTATGAAAATAAATGAATTTCACAAAGAATTTTATTAAAATGGCTCAAAATAATTGAATTTTCGGGAATAATTTTGTTATTTATCGAAATAATTGAATTGTTGGGAAGAATTTTATTAAAAAAATAATTGAATTATTTCAACAAAATTTAATTTAAAAATTTAATTTAAAAAAACATTTTTTTTAAATAATTTATTTTTTTGAGGAATTGAAATTAAATTTTTAAGAATAATTACATTTTTGAGCAATTCATGTAAAATTGTATTAAAAATAATTGAAATCCTACGATGAATTTTATTATTTATGAAAATAATTGAATTCCTAAGAAGAATCTTATTATTTATGAAAATAATTGAATTATTGCGAAAAATTTTATTCATATATGTTTAAAAAGAATTGAATTTCTGTGAAAAATTTTATTATTTTTGAAAATAATTGAATTCTTCATAAGAATTTTATAAACATTGTTTTAAATAATTAATGTTTTCGAAATATAATAAATATTATGAAAATTTTATTTGTGAAAATAATTGAATTTTTCGATTAATTAAATTAAAATAGTATTAAAAATAATTGAAATTCTTCGATGAGTTTTTTTTTTGATGATTTTTCGATGATGATGATGAAAATAATTTAATTCTTGCTTAGAATTTTATCAAAAATTTTTTTAAAAAATTGAATTTCCATGAAAAATGTTATTATTAGTAAATGTAATTGAATTATTGTAAACAATTGTACAAAAATTTTGTTAAATAATTTAATTTTTCAAAATTTTTTTGAAAATGCTACTCTAAATTAATTGAATTACTGTGAAAATTTTATTATTTATGAAAATAATTGCACTTTGGATGAATTTTATCAATTTTTTGTTAAATAATTGAATTCTCTTGTGAAATTTTATGAAAATACTAGATATAGAAAATAATTGAATATCGAATATTTTTTTTAAAATAATTGAATCGTTTTAAAGAATTTGATTATAATTTTTGAGAATAGTTTTTTGATTTCTAGTATTGGTGAATTTAAAGTAGTGTAAATTCTCAAAAAAAACAGAAATAGTAACTTTTAGTCGCTGAAATCTAAAAAAGTACCCAAATAGTAGGTTTTTGTAAATGAGTGCGAAGATTGATGTATCAAAAGTTTCTTTTCGAGTACTTTAAAAACAAAATGAAATTCCTTCGTTAGAAAAAACAAGGAACAATAGATTGCAATCAGAAATGAATTTATGACGTCGACAGTAATGGAAGCGAGAGACTTATGTTCTCTTTTAGAAGATAAAAAAAGCTCCCTACTCATGTGAAGCTCTGTTTTAAAAACTGGGTCATATTCATTATATTTCACGCGGTCGAAAGAACACCCGTATCCCTAAGGGTTACTTTCACATAACCACACAACCCATCTTTCTGTCATGCTTTTTACCCAACACCTTTCCATCCACTTTCTTTCTTCTAAATCCAGAATTACTTTTGCCTCAAAATTTCCCCTCTCACGATCTGGTAACGCTTGTTTCATTAAACGAACAAATGCTCGACTCATGTTAATGGAAACATTCCATTTGAATTTAAACACTTTCCACATGTCTTTCTTTTTATTTTCTTTTTTTTAACTAAAAAAAAAAGAAACTTACTGCAAAATGACAAAGAAAAGAAATTCAAACACTTTTATGTATACTTTCTTTCATTTCTTCTCCATTTTTTTCTTTTATCAAACAACTTCTTTTTAAATTAAGAACGGTAGGAAAATATTTTCTCTCCTCCTGTAATTTTCATTTTCATTTCAAAAAATAACTTCGGTATAACAATTAATTTATCAACGAAATAAATTTTTTTCCACAACTTGTATGAATTGAAAATTATAAAAATAATTTTTTCTTCAAAATTTAAAATTAAATGATAAAATCAAAAATTGTTAGAAAAGAATAACAAAAATATTACAATAAGAGTAATACAAGACTAAAAAAAACGAATTTTATTAAAATCTAAAAAAATAATTGATTTCCAGAGAATAATAAATTTTATTATTTATAAAAATAATTGAAATCCTGCGATGAGTTTTATTTCTTATGAAAATAATTGAATTCTTGCAACGAATTTTATTAAAATTTTTAAATAATAATAAAATTCCTGAGAAGAATTTTATTATTTATAAAAATAATTGAATTCTTTCAGGGAATTTTTTTTATTAAAATAGTAGATATTGTAAATAATTGAATTTCGAAACATTTTTGAAAATAATTGAATCGTTTGAAAGAATTTTATTAAAATTTGTTGAATTGTTTCTAAGAATTTTATTAAAAATTTTGAAAATAATTTTTTTATTCTAATTATTTGGAAAAAGAATATGATTTACCTTGAACCAGCGAATTTTCGTATTTTCTCCTTCTTCTCATATTTCTCCTTTTCTTTAATTGCCAATAATCTCTCTTCATCCTTTTCTTTTTCCATTGTACTTCGCTGTGTTCCAACAGTGGCCAATTTACTTGGATTCTGCTCACGCAACATCAATGATATTATCTGAAAAAAATACACACAGGTGAAAATTGCATACGTTTATTTACCTTTAATAAAGCACTAGTTATATGTCATTAAAACTTCTACAAAATAAATAATAAACACATTTATTACCTCTAAAATTTGCAAATGATAATGTTGCTCGCTTCTGTTACTGGCAATAAAAAGTAAAAGATCGACAGTTCCGGACGAATGCAGGGCAAATAGTAACTGTAGTTTGAAAAAAACAAAGTTATAAAAATTAAATGTAAAAAAAAATTATTTAATATTATTAATTAATAAATATTCACATTTCCATAAATTACTAATTGTAATAAAAAACGAAACAATTAAATTTCACATTTAGAAACTTATAATTAATTATTTTTATGTCTGACAAAAAGAATTTTTTGAAATAAATTATAATTAAATATTCAATAAAATATAAAATAAATGTTCAAAAAATTCTAAACGTTCAAATGAACGAAATATTTGTTCCATGTAAGATATTTTTAAAAATTGCCGAGTTTTGTAAAAATCATGAAAGTAAATCAAACAAATTATTTTCTAAATATTTATATTTTAAGCGTGACGCAATTTTATAAGAAAAATATTTGCATTTGAAAAAGAAACAAATAAATTTCGTTCATTTGAACGTTCAAAACGCATAAATTAAAATATTAAATATAAAATATAAAAAACGAAAGAGTTTTTCTGTGTTGATATATTTTTAGAAATTACCGAGTTTCGTAAAAATCATCAAAGTAAGTCAAAAAGTTTGAAATTTTGCAAACTATTTTCTAAATATTTATATTTTATACGTGACGCAATTTTAAAGGAATAATAATTTGCATTTGAAAAAGAAACAAATAAATTTCGTTCATTTGAACATTAAAAACTTTAAGGATATTAAAATAGAGATATAATTGGAAAAATTAAATGAATTTAATTAAAAATATTCCAAATAATAAATTGAAAGTAAATAAAGTATAGAAAAAATAAATCGAAATAAAATAATTATAATTATTCTGTTTCGAAATTGACTTTTTATAAAAATATAAAAAATTAATTTCTTTTTTATCCTAAAAATTCATAAAATGAAACCAATATTTATTACCTCGTCGTGTACAGTAGCATCATTATCGATACGTAAATCATTATCAGGTGGTGGAATTTGTAAAACATTCCTGATAAATGTGAGGATACGTTCGATTATTATTTCATTTTCCTCTCCCCTTTCTGATGTATCCTGTTTTAATATAATTTAACAACGTAGGTTAAAAAATAATTATATTTTTCATTGCAATCAAATTCACATCATTCTATAATTATATAGAACAGGAATCAAAGTATTTTATTTTAAATACGTAAAAATGTGAATTATTTTACGAAAATACGCAAAAAAAAGCGCGAACAAAGAAATAAAAGTTCAAAATAACTAATAATTTTAAATTTGCATTGTTTAATTCTTTAGTGGATTTATTGTTAATAATATAATAATCTTAAACAATACAAACTCGAATCGTTGCTAAGGAATTAATATTCTTTTGTCTATTTTTGTTATTTTATAAAAAGTCAATCAGTTCTTTTAAAACTGTTATGTCTAACGGACGTGTTTCCTAATAAACTATTTCTATTTCTATTTACGTTTCTTAATTTATTTCGTTCGTGTGAATATTATATCGTCATCAGGTTATGGGCCCAGGACGTGTCGCGAAATTTTGAATTAAAATAAAAACGTACGGAGAAATTTTTTAAATTCATCGAATATTTTTTGTTTTGAGTCTAACGTCATTTTATCGAAAACGTCAAATAAAATGAACACGACCGGAGTGAGATTTGAACTACTATCCAAGGAAAATTATGATACTTGGAAAATTCAAATGCGCGCGATTCTAATAAAAAATAATTCGTGGAATTATGCAAATGGAACCATCGTCAAACCGACGATCACGGCAGGAAATGCAGAATCACAAGGAGCAGCGGATGCTTGGGTAGAAGCGGATCTAAAAGCGCAGTCAGACATCATCCTCGCGATGAATCCCTCTGAAATCAAGCAGATCAAAAATATCTCTACCGCATCAGAAATCTGGATCAAACTGGAAAGTATATATCAATCCAAAGGACCTGCAAGGAAAGCTGCTCTGCTGAATCATTTAATGTCACTGAAAATGAATGAAGGTGATGATGTTCGCGAATTTTCTCGTTCTTTCTTCGATACAATAGATAAACTAGAGGAACTCGAAATAGTCATCAACAAAGATTTATTGTCAGTCATGCTCCTCCGGAGTTTACCGGAATCCTACGAAAATTTTCGTTGTGCTATGTCTTCCCGAGATGAGCTACCGTCTCTCGAAACCTTACGGATCAAGATCGAAGAAGAATCCGATGCACGAAAGGAACTGAATCGAGGATCAACATCGCAAGGCGCATTATTTGCAAAACGACCATGGAACAAACAACGCGAAAACTTTCAACCGCATTCGAAAAACGAAAACACCATGAAAAAGGACTCAAAAATGAAGTGTTTTAAATGTGGCTCGATCGGTCACAGAGCGAAATTTTGTAAAAACGCGAAAAAGGTGAACGAACTGTCGGCTAGTGGTATTGAAGATCTCAGTTTATACGTAAACGAAACGGAGCATAAATCTCTTCAAATCGGAAGCAACGAAAATTCTGGATTTTGGTGCTTCGACAGTGGATGTACTTCTCATATGTGCAAAGACATCGAATCATTCACCGAAATACGCCAAAATAACAATCCGAGCAAACTAAATCTAGCAAACAACGGGAGCACGAACATCGCAGGTAGAGGAACAGTTAATACGATCATCATGACAGGTAATGCGTCAAAATCAATAAAACTTGACGATACACTTTATGTTCCCGACCTTCGGACCAACCTAATTTCTGTGTCAAAAATTACCGACAAAGGACACAACGTAATTTTCGATAAAAATAAAGCCCAAGTAATTGACAATAGTGGAAACGTGTTACTTACAGCGAAGCGTGAACGAGATCTGTATTATTTTCAAGAAATTGTCAATCCCGAGTGCAAGAAGATTTTCGAAACAAACACTACAATGAGAACACCAAAGAAAAATTCTCTGGAAGATTGGCACATCAAAATGGGTCACTTAAACCTTAAATCCCTTCGAGAAGCCACACGAACAGGAGCAATACGAGGAATCAAGATCGAGGGATCCAAAGAAGATTTTGACTGCAGAACATGTATCCAGGGAAAAATGTCTCGACCTCCTTTTCCAAAGGTATCTGAAAGAAAATCGAATATAAGCGACATTGTACATTCTGATATTTGTGGTCCAATGCGGACGATTTCGTATGGAGGTAGTAAATACTATATAACCTTTATAGACGACTCCTCACGATGGTGCGAAATAAAATTTCTGAAACAAAAAAGCCAAGCTGTAGACGAATTCGAAAACTATATAAAGTATGTGGAAACTCAGCAAGGAAAGAAAGTAAAATGTTTGCAAACAGACAACGGAAAAGAATACGATAACATCAAATTCGACAATCTACTCAAACAACATGGAATATCCAGGCGATTAACAGCTCCCTACAACCCAGAACAAAACGGAGTCTCAGAAAGAAAGAACAGGACCCTAATGGATACTGCAAGATGTCTTCTGATTCAATCCGGCTTACCATCAACCTTCTGGGCAGAAGCAGTCTCTACGGCAAATTTTATCCGAAATCGATCACCATCAAGCAAGCTTAATGGAAAAACTCCATACGAGTGCTGGTTTGGAGAAGCTCCAGATGTGACCGATTTTAAACCTTTTGGATGCGAGGTATTCGTGATGGACAGGACTCCTGGTCGAGGAAAGCTAGAACCACGATCAAGAGAAGGTATATTCATAGGCTACAGTTCGACATCAAAAGCTTACAGGATTTGGTTGCCAAAAGAAAAGAAAACAATAACCTCAAGAGATGTCAAATTCCTAAATCAAACTACCAATCAACCAACACAAATCTTTGAAGAATTCTATCTCAAAAACAAAGAACCAGAATCGAAAACCGACATGGAAGAATCAGAACACCGCAGACTGGAAATCGAAATTGATCTTTGCAAAAACGAAAAGAAAGTTGTCAATGGAAATAATATAAACGTAGAAGAACCCTACGAAGAAAACAACATTAATGGTATAGATCAAAACGCACAACCAGAACAAGGAGGAGTAGAATCAAGCGACGAAGATTTTCTTGGATTCCCTAATATAATTTCTTTCGATCGAAGAAGACGAGGAAGACCTCGAACCATACACACTGGAAAACGAGGAAGACCAAGAATAGAATATGGAACAACTTGTACAACACCATCTACCAACGAGAACCAAAATGAATCTTCTTTCATAAACATCGAAATTCCTATCAAAATGGCATTAACCGGTCAAAATGCAGACGAATGGATGGAAGCAATGGCTGATGAGACGAAGTCCATCCTGGAAAAGAAAACTTGGGAACTAGTCGATAGAAACAAATCATCAAATGTAATCGGAAGTAGATTTATTCTTCGAAACAAATACGGTACGAACGGCAACCTGGAAAAGAAAAAGGCAAGAATTATTGCAAAAGGATATTCTCAACAATATGGACGAGATTTTAACGAAACTTACGCTCCTGTTGCACGCCTAAGTTCTATTCGGACAACAATAGCCCACGCAGTACAAAACAACATGTATATTCAACAATTTGACGTAACTACGGCATACCTAAACGGAAAACTAAATGAAGAAGTCTACATGGAACTACCAGATCGGATGGTGGACGTCCTAAAATACGTCATAAACAAAGGACCAAGTAACGACGAATTTAATCAACAAGCCGAATTCATGTTGAAAAGCATAAATGAAGGCGACAAAGTGTGCAAAATGAAGAAAGCAATTTACGGTCTAAAACAAGCAGGACGAGCTTGGCACCAACTTTTAAATTCCAAACTACAAAGCTTAGGATTCGAACCGTCAAAATCTGATCCATGCGTATACCTTAATCGAAATGAAACAGACTTAATCACTCTTGTCGTATACGTCGATGACATTTTAGTAATGTGCAAAAACCTCAACAAAATTACCAATTTTGGAACTAAATTTGGAAATATTTTTGGAGTCAAAGACATTGGTGAAGTCAAACGATGCCTTGGTATGGATTTCCACAGAAACGAAAATGGAATCTTCATAAATCAGAAAACCTATATAAGAGAAATTTTACTTCGTTTTGGAATGGAAAATAGTAATCCAGTTTCAACACCACTTGACACAGGAACAAAACTCGTAAAAGGAGGAGAATGGAAGAACTCCGACGGTGAGAAACCTCCCTATCGAGAACTCGTTGGATCTTTGCTCTACTTATCAATTGCAACGAGACCTGATGTGGCTCATGCAGCAAGTGTTTTGAGCCAATTTAATGACTGTTTCAACAAAGACCATTGGAACTCAGCGAAAAGAGTACTTCGATATCTAAAAGGAACTGACAATCATGGAATATTCTATCATCGAGAAAAGATGCCATTAGCCGGATACGTAGATGCAGACTGGGGTGGATCCTTAGATGATCGACGGTCCTTTACCGGATATGCTTTTATCATGGGCGGTGGTGCAATCACATGGGACTCTCGAAAACAACGCACGGTTGCCCTTTCAAGTACGGAGGCCGAATACATGGCGATGAGCGAGGCAGCAAAAGAAGCGATACATCTCAAACGTTTCCTCTCGGAACTTGAAGGGAAGAATCTAGAATACATAAAATTACACGTCGACAACAACAGCGCACAAAAATTAGCCATGAATCCCATTCATCACGCCAGGACGAAACACATCGACATTCGACATCATTTCGTTCGTGAAACTGTGGAATCAGGACAGATCATTTTGGAACACATCGCTTCAGAAAATATGCCCGCTGATGTGTTGACAAAATCACTATCAAAAACTAAACACAATCAATGCATTAATTCTTTGGGACTATTGAAAGAATATTTTTAAAAATACTGAGTTTATATTGAGGGGTAGTGTTAATAATATAATAATCTTAAACAATACAAACTCGAATCGTTGCTAAGGAATTAATATTCTTTTGTCTATTTTTGTTATTTTATAAAAAGTCAATCAGTTCTTTTAAAACTGTTATGTCTAACGGACGTGTTTCCTAATAAACTATTTCTATTTCTATTTACGTTTCTTAATTTATTTCGTTCGTGTGAATATTATATCGTCATCATTTATTTATTCTTTAGATATTTATTTAAAGAAAGAAACAAATTATTATCAAGATAAATGTTTCATTTTTCGACAATTTTAATTTTTCCATCGATTGAATTTGCATTTGATTAAAATAAAAATAAATAAAAACTTGAATAACTTCAAATTAAGATGGGTTAAGTTTAAAATCGATTATAATTTGGATCAACAAGCCTTGAATCAACTTTAAGGCGCAAAAATGTTGCTTTAGTCGATTAAAAATACAAAAATAGTAGAAAAAGTCGTTTACTCTATTCAATTTTGTCCAAAAAAATTAAATTTTGTATTTCACTAGCCTTTCACTAATTTCTAAATTTAACAAAAACTAAATAAATTTTTAATTGATAAAATTAAAAAATAATTATAATTAATTTTTAATTTAGATAAATCACAATTTTAATCAATAATAAAATATTCAACTCATTTAAATTAATGTTAACCGATTCAAATTTGAAATAAGTAAATTTTATTAAATTAAAACTTCGATCAATTGAAGAATTTCTTTCTTTTTAAACTACAAATAAATTAAAACTTAAATCAATTGATTCCTGTTTTTTTCCTTTTTAAACAAATGTGAGAATCCTGTGCATCCTAAATTTCCCAAATTAATTGAAACTCAGGAATGTTTCAAAAAAATTCTTCTAAAACCAATAAATTTTGTTTCTACATTCCCGAGCGAAAATCAATATTTTAACATTGTGAATTCAATTATTTTTTGAAATATTACATCCACAAATTAATCGAATCACTTCCGTGGAGGCAAATTTTTATTTAAAAATTTCTTTTTAAACATTTTAAAATTCTTTAATATATTAGCAGACTTCGCACTCGATAATTATTTTTTAAAAAGTAGCAAAAAGTAGTTTTAAGACTGAAAAAAGGAGTAAAAAGTAGGTATCGAAAAATTTAATTTAACGACAAAAAGAAAATCGTTTTACTCGATTCACAAAAATTTGATTCATTATTTCCCTAACTTTTTCCTGTTTTTCATTAAAAATATTTACTTTTCTTTTTAACGGGGTAATAAATTCAATTCTAAATGTTTTTAAAGTTTAATTATTTTCTAAATTTTCAGTTAAAATTCATTAAAAATACGATTATACTTAAAAATAATTTCTAAAAGTAAGAAAATAAAATTCTTTACAAAATATACAAATTTAATTCAATTTAATTTGACAAAATCTTCAATTAATTGAAAATTTAATTTAATCTTTTTAAATTAAGGAGTTTAACTGACATTAAAAAATTTTAGTTACAATTTTTTGTTAAATTTAAATATTTATTTTTCCACGATAATGAATATTTTAATTAATTTCAATGTAAAATCTTTATGAAATTTTATTCTGTATAAAAATTACAAGTGTAATTCAAAATCGTTTTACAACGATTAAAATTTTTAAAGACAGTCAATTAAAAAATCCTTTGAAATTTAATTATTTCTAAAAATTCATATTACATATAACGCTTCTAATATTCAATTATCATCTATAATTTTATCTGAAAATCATTTTTAAATCAATTCTAATTAAAAAGTTGTACGAGAATTCAATTATTCAAATATATGAAAATAGATAATTTATTGAATAATTGAAATCTTAAACATAATTTATTTTATTAACAAATTTTCAAATAATTAAATTCTTTTGAAGAATTTTAATATAAAGTTTTTAAGAACAATTGTATTTTTGTATGCATTAATTGAACATTGTATTAAAAATAATTGAAATCCCGCGATAAGTTTTATTATTTATGAAAATAATTGAATTCTTGGAATGAATTTTATTAAAATTTTAAAAAATAATTAAATTCCTGAGAAGAATTTTAGAAAAAGAATTTTTTTTAAATTTGTTGAATTGTTTCTAAGAATTTTATTAAAAATTTTGAAAAGAATTTTTTTGTTCCAATTATTGGCGAATTTAATGTAGTACAAATTCTCAAATCTAGAAAAAGTATCCAAATAATAGCAAATCGTAAAAAAGTAGTAAATAGTAGGATTTAGTAAATGAGTACGAAGTCTGAATTACTGAATGTTATATAAAAAATAGTAGGAAGAAAATAGAATTCAAAAAACAAAATAAAATTCAGTAAACTACTTAAATACAGTAAGATTACTTACAATACTCAACAATTTGCTAAGATGATCTCTAACCGTATTCCAAACTCCCTCTTCGGTAAGAGCAATTTTGTAGCCTTGCAAATGAGAAACGATTTCTTGATAAAGGGTTCGAGTGACTTTCTCCGTCGGCAATTCGTCATTATAAAACATCAAAGCCGAACTCGTTAAATTGATCATCAACCTAAATGGAAATATATCAATTATAGGGTAATTGTTTCTTCATTTCATTGTAAATTGAGAATCGATATTGAATTTTCAAGACATGCGATTGAAAATACTTTTTCTCCCTATTTATTGATTGATATTCGCAACTCATAAACCTCAATATTGTTAGCAAATATTCCGACTGGAAATTGTAAAATGCAATTAGTTGCTTTGCAAATTAATTTCATTTAAATCTTCTTTAGGGATTAATTCAATTTAAAATATATCGAACCATTCATGGTTCGAATATTACAGATATTTCACAATATCAAAAACTATACATATTGAAAATACATTTTTTTTCTTTTGATAAATAAAATAATAAATAATTACAATAAATAAAAGGAAAATTTAAATTTTCTTACCGTAAGAGAACATCCCAAAGTTCTTGTTTGTCGGTATGTTCGACAAAAATTTTAATAAGATCGGTTTGAACGATTTTCGAGTGTCCGAGATAGCGACGAACAACATGAGTAGAGTCATCTCTTCGTAGATATTTTATTAAATCTTTTATGACCTCTGCAAAAAAAAAGAATAGAATTAAAGTAAAATAGAAAATTTTAATTTCATAGAAATGAAAAAAAATTTTGAGAAACTTACCAAGGCAGTTTTTGTCCAAATGATACTTATAGCCATCGTAATAACCAAGCGCATCGCAAGTGGCTGCCAATTCAGCAGAAATATATGGAGTAAATTCCGTCATGATATATTACTCCTGGATTATTCTAAGTGTTTTCCGGTTAATCTGATGCTTAACTAGAGTTTCTGAAAAATATTTTAGTCTATATATATTTAAAAATTTTATTAAAAACTAGCAAATGTTACGCGCGCTAGCGCATGGAACGTGATTTTCCATTTATTATTACTATGCAAAATACAAAATTTTTTTATTTTCAAATTAAATTTTTTTTAATAATTTCATAATCAAAAAATTTACTTATTAATTTGTCGCAAAAATTTAATTATTTTTAATACAATTTGAACAATATTTTTCGAAAAAATTCAATTATTCCATAAATTTTAATAAATCTTTCAAAACAATTCAATTATTTTTTTAATTTTTAACAAAATTTTTTGAAAGAATCCAATTATTTTCTAAAATTTTAATAAATCCTTCGAAACAATGCAATTATTTTTATAAGTAGTAAAGAAAATTCACCAGAAGAATTAAATTATTTGTTATAAATAATAAAATTCTTCTCAGGATTTCAATTATTTTCAATACAATTTTAATAAACTTCGATAATCAAATTAATTAACTATAATAATTTGAATGTTCTTTCATTCATTCATTCACTTTTCTGCCCCTCACACTCTGAAGTTGTCTTTTGTTCATACTTTTGTTTTTTGTTAACTTTAGATAGATTGTATATTATTATATTATTATGTTATAATTATTTTTATTTTATAATTAATTAAAAATTGTAATGCCAAATAGAAATCATCAGAATTTTTTTCACTTCTTTTCATTAAAAGACTAAAATTTTGTTAAATATTATGTTTTGTCAAATTGAAATTATGCGGATTTTTGTTCTTTACTTCTAAACAAAATTAGAAAATTGTTAAATTAAACAACTTATAAAAGTATTGTTATAAAATATGAAGATATCGATTGCTCCGAGTCGAAGACTCGGAGTGATCGATTTCTTCATGTTTTCTAATAATTAAAGATGACCGAGAGATAAAATCATTATTTCATACATATTATAAGAATATTGTTACTGTAACTTCTTAAAAATTATTTTCATCATTTTAATTCAATTATTATTTTCTAGAATTTTAAATTATTATTTATGAAAATAATTGAATTCCTGTGAAATTTTTATTATTTATGAAAATAATTAAATGTTTTCATACAATTTTATTAAAATTTTTCTTAAATATAATTGAATTCTTTTTGGGAAATTTTATTAAAATGGTAGATATTGAAAATAATTGAGGGGCTGGATGCTATAATGTGTTACGCGCCATGTTAAGTGAATGGCGCGTAACACATTATAGCATCCAGCCCCTCAATTAAAATTAGAAAATTTTTTGAAAATAATTGAAATTAGGACAAAATTTTTTTTGACATTTATGAAAATAATTGAAATTTGGAGAAGAATTTTGTTATTTATTTATAAAGATAATTGGGATTTTTCAGAGAATTTTTTTCAAATTTTGAACATAGTTGAATTTTATAAGAAGAATTTTATTTTTTCGTCAAATAATTGAATATCTGCAATTATTTGAAAATTCTATTATTTTATTCAAAAATATTTTCGAAAAAATCAGTTTTGTTTTTAAATCAGATTTTTTATTTCATAAATATATTTTAATAAAATTTTTTTAAAAAACACTTTTCGCACTTTTCGCGGAATTCATTTAAAATTGTATGAAAAAATAATTGAAATTCTACAATGAGTTTTATTATTTATAGAAATAATTGAATTTTTGCATCGATTTTAACTGAAAAAATATTTTAATTCTTAAGAAAAATGTTATTATTTAGAAAATTAATTCAATTCTTGCCCAAAAAATTGATTACAATCTTTAAAATCATTCAAATTTTGCAAAAAAATTTATTATTTTTGAAAATAATTGAATTTCTCAGAAGAATTTTATTATTTATGAAATTAATTGAATTCTTTCCAAAAAATTGATTAAAATCTTTGAAATAATTGAATTCCTCACAAGAATTTTCTTACTTATGAAAATAATTGAATTTTTATGAAGAATTTTGTTAACATTTTCAAAAATAATTGAATTTTACTGAAAAATTTAATTATTTATAAAAAATAATTGAAATCCCTTAAAAAATCTACTTATTTATAAAAATAATTGAATTCTTTACAAGAATTTTGATTTAAATCTTTGAAATAATTCGAATGTTGCAAAGAATTTTATTATTTTTAGAAATAATTAAATTCTTCTGAAAAATTTTAACATTTTGTATATAAATTAAATGATTGAGAGGAAATTTTGAACATTTTTTTTTTTTTTTTAATAACCTTCGCGCTAACAAAGATTTTTGTATACGCGGACTACCGGCTGGCCACGCGGTGTGGCCATACGCTATTTTACTTATTATGTTCCCAAAACGATTAAAATTCATCAAACTTTTTGTATATAATTATGTGTTAATACAATTTAACTGAAAAAAAATTTTGTTCATTGAGTTAAAATGGCGATTCTATTGATGCAAAAGTCGAGCAGATATACAACATTATGTATTACTGGCCACATTGTGTGGCCAGCCGGTAGCCCGAAGGATAATAGAATTGTTTTGTGAAATTTTAGTAAAATAGTAATTAAAATTTGAATTCTTTTTGGGAAATTTTAATAAAATAGTAGATATTGAAAATCATTGAAATTAGAAAATTTTTTGAAAATTATTAAAATTAGGACAATAATTTTTTTGACGTTTATGAAAATAATTGTACTTTGGAGAAGAATTTTGTTATTTATAAATATAATTGGGATTTTTACGAGGATTTTTTAAAAATTTTGAACATGGTTGAATTTTATAAGAATTTTATTTTTTTTTTTAATAATTGAATTTCTGCAATTATTTGTAATTTCTCTAAGCAAATTTTTATAAATCTTTGTTTGACATTTTTTTAAATAGTTTCTTGATCTACTATCTAAAAGAAAAAAAATGTTAAACAAAAGAAATTTTGTCTCTTTAACCAATGATATAAACATGAAATTCACCTACAAATATGTTTCCTTTAATTTCGAATATAATTTACCAAAAAAGAATTATTTTCTAAATTTTTAATGTATATTTTTATTTAATTGTAAAAAATCGTTTGAAAATTGTATTGACTTTATTAACTTGAATGCTTAGAATGTATGAACCACAATAAACGAACAAATGTAATATTGATAAAAATTGTTTCACTAAAACAATTAAAAAAAAGCAGTAAAAATATTTTTAAAATATTCAGATCTATTTTACTTTGAGAGACATTTTCATTTACATTATTAATCGAAATTGATTAACAACTAAAATTAGAAAATTCTACCTCTAAAATAAAAAATAAATACCAAAGATAAATATACGTACAATAAATAACGTCCATTGAATTAAATAACGGAGGTCATTCGTCATTAAATAATGACTTTCGCATTATTAAGTCAATCTATGTAAATTCCGCAGATGTTTATAAATAAACAACTACTTTTATAAAAACAAATAATTAAATAATCGAAACATCTAAACCGATTTGACAGTTTACAAAAATTGTATGTTTTTTAAGGTTATGTCACCGGTACAAGAGAAATTATTCACCGCAGTAATTACGAAGATTAAACGAAAATATAAACCTTGATTTAGGAAACAAAAATTCGCAAATTATTAAAAATGTTAACCAAATAATGTGTCTCAATGATCTTTATATAGTTAAAATTTGTCAAAAAGAAAAAATTTAACAGTGATAAACATACCAAATGATTTACGCAACAGCAAAGTCGTTGCACATTTTTCACTGACAACGTTACCGCTATTACACTATATATTCTCAAAATAAAACACACGCTGAATTAAAACGTACAACATAACTTATTGCCCTCAAAAATAAAAAGGAAAACTAAACAACGAACAAAGAAGACCAACACGTGTTGTATTATGTTTACGCATGTTTACATGCAAGCAAGCAACAAGTCACGACAGGCAGAATGAAAAAGGCGCGCAAAATTATTAGCCGCCATATTGAATTACTTTTCTAAACCCATTATTTCTATTGGACGAAAATTATAACCAATGAATTATGCAGCGGGAAAATAATTTTAATTTCAATTACATTGACAAATGATTTTTGTAATTTTCATTTTTATATTTATTTTTCATTTACCTTTTATATATTATTATTAACATTATTATTATTATTATTATTATTATTATTATTATTATTATTATTATTATTATTATTATTTTTATTATTCCTATTGTTATTAATAAAATGGTAAAATTATTCTTAGTTTGAAAAATTCTTAAAGAGTAGATATTATTTAATTGTTAAAGTAAATTGTAAATAATAATAATTAAAATACTTTTAGTACCTATATTTTGTTTTTATTATTTATTATTCTTTGTATTTTTGTATGAAAAAGTACTACCAGTGTAAACAATAAATAAATAATAATAATTAAATTAAATGCCAGAAAATAAAAGTTAATAGTTTCAAAACATAAATAATAAATTCTAAACTAAATAAAACATTTTCAAATAAAATTTTTTTAATTCTTTTCTAAATCAAGTAAGTATTTTTAATAATTTTTAGAAAGTTTTTTGAGAATTCAATCATTCGAAAAAAAATTAGAATTTTCACTAAAAATATATACGTCTGACATTCAATTGTTTTCAATTGAATTTAACGAAATTTTGATTATTCTAAAATTTATCAATTATATCTTTTGTTCAAAATATAGAAAAAATTAATAATAAATAAATAATTTTAAAAAAATTTGAATCAAAATTTTTCAAAGAACTATAAGTTGATTAGAATTTTTACACTGAAAAAAAAAAATTTATTTGATTCAAATAACCGATTAATTGACTAATATAAATTAAATATTTAATTGAATCAAATACCTAGTATTTATTGGAGTCAATTAAATGGTATTTGCTTCAAATACTGAAATTATTGGTTCAAATACAATTTAATTGACTCGAATAAATATTATTTGATTCAAGTAAATATTTAATTGATAATAGTCAATTAATCGGTTATTTTAATCAAATAATTTTTTTTCAGTGTTATTAAAATTGTATCAAAAATTTCGATTTAAAACCTTTTGAAATTTAAGTGTTTTTAAAAATTTCTATTATTTTTAACCCAAAGTCTTTTCTAAATCAATTATTTTTAATAATTTTCAAACAATGGAACTTTTTTTTATTTTTCGAATTATTAAAAAAATTCGCAATTATTTTCAATTCAATTTTACAAAATTTCGATTATTTAAAAATTTTTAATTTATTGTTTATTAGGTACTGAATTTCAACTAATAAAAAATACAAATGAAATTTTTTGAAAAAACTGAATTCTACAGAATTCAGAAAATTGATGAAATGAAATTTTGTTGATTCAATAAATTTCTACTTCAACTGTTGCAAAATAAAATTTCCAGAATTTTGAATTAAAATTTTCCTCTAAATCTATTATTTTTTGAATAATTTTGAGAATTAGAATGGTAAATAAAAAATTTTAGAATTATTGAGAGAAATTGAAAAATATATGATTAATTAGATGTAAATGAATCTGAATATTTATGTTTTATGAAGCGAATGGCATAGAATAATTATATTAAAACAAACGGTTTAAATCATTAGCGCCTAGTATTAATAAGTATACTAAGTTTAGCAGGCATGGATGAAACGCAGCTGCATATAATGTGGATTAATTAACGCAAGCCTTAATTTAAATAGAATTAGACTTTCCCCTAAAATTGGTCGATCTACCCTTCGAAAGTCAGTGTAGTGTTCACAAACCACAATTAGAGTTATCAGAGCGAATTTAGAACTGTCTAAATGAGGGTAGATAATGTTCGTCGCTAAAATGCCAATTCCTATATATATCCGCATATGGTTTCCAAAAAAATTCATTTAATTAATTTTTTAAATTCAAACATTTCATTTCATATTCTATCAAAATAATTCCCGTATTAGGTTTTTTAACAATGATTGAAACAATTTCTCGATTTTTTTACTATTATTTTAAGAATTTATGTAAATGTTAAAATAACGCAAAAAATTTTGCAATCCCAACAAACACGTCTTTGATGCAAAAAATTTCACCAAGTAAAAATGTTTGCAAATATCCAAATAATTTGTAAAATAAAAGTTCACCAAGTAAAATTTATATAACTAAATATTGTTTCATTTTATTAAATATAAAAAATTAGATTTCCGACAGAAATTGATGTTTTCCATTATATTCTGAATTGTGACAAATATGAAATAAATTTTAACAATTAACTTAAGCAATTATAAATGAAATTCAACTTTTTGTCTAAATAAAAATTTCCCATTTTAGTCATTTATAACTTGTAATTAATTGAAGTATTGACGCTAAGGTTTTTAAATTGACTAAAATGGGAATTCTTTATTCGGATAAAAAATTGAATTTAATTAATTGTTGATGTTAATCATTAAAATTTATTTCATATTTGTCACAATTTAAAACATAATATGAAACATCAACACCCACAAAAATGTAATTTTGTTTTTCCCTGACTTTTCCCTGATTTCCAGACAAAAATATAACTTTTTCCCTGACCCTAAAGAATATTCTGATTCACTCTCAAAATTATTATAGATACTCAAAAAAATGTTCTATTACATTTATTAACGAATTTCTTTAACTGTAAAATTATTCGAAAACATCAACAACTTCTTTTCTTAATAAATATTAAATCATTATTATTTTTCTATATGAATTAAGATTTTTAAAGTTTTCAAATTCAAACCTTTTTGAAATTCAACAACTTCAAAATCAATTATTTTTAATAATTTTTCAAAAAGTTCTTTGAAAATTTTCAAATTTATTTATTTACAATTCAATTTTACGAAATTTCGATTATTCGGATAATATTCCATCTAATCTATATATTAGAAAATAAAAACTTCGAATAATATTAAAAAAATCAGCAATTAAACTTTTTCAAAAAAATTAATTCTACAGAATTGTTAAATAAAAGAATGAAAAATTCAGATTTTCAAAGATTTTAATTTGAAACCTTTGTAAAATTCAATTATTTCTCAAAATTCACGCTATAATGCTTTCAATATTCAATTATAATTTAAAATTTGAACTGAAATTCATTTTTAAATCAATATTTCTTAGAAAATTCTACGAGAATTCAATTACATTTAACTGCAAAAATAAATATTTTATTAAACAATTGAATGTTTCTTAAAATTGAATTTTTATGAAGAATTTTATCAACAAATTGTTAAATAATTGAATTGTCTTAACAAATTTCAATAACATTTTTAAGAATAATTTTATTTTTCGAATAATTTGATTAAAATTGTATTTAAAATAATTGAAATTGTGTCATGAATTTTATTATTCATGAAAATAATTAAATTCTTAAAACAAAATCTATTATTTATGAAAATAATTTAATTCTTGCGAAGAAATATATAAAACATTTGTAAATAATTGAATTCCTGTAAAATTTTTATGATTTTTGAAAATAATAAAAAGTTTGCGTAGAATTTAAAAAAAAAATTTTTTCTTAGCATTTGAATTTTTTTGGAAAATTTTATTAAAATAGTATAGAGATTGAAAATCATTGAATTGTGGAATTTTTTTAAAAATAATTGAAATTTTACGATGAATTTTATAAAAATTTTTTAAAATAATTGAATTTTGGAGAAGAATATTATTATTTATAAATAATTATAAATTTTGACGAGAATTTAAAAAAAAATTTCAAGTTAATTGAAATAATTAAAAATAATTGAATTTTAAAAAATTAAAATAAAGAAAATTCGATGAATTATCTACTTTTTCAAAAATATTTTATTATAATTTTTAAAAGCTAATTTTCATTTTTAAATTTACACTTGAAGATTTTTCATTAAAGTTTTCGAAAATACAACATTATTTTCAAAATTTGCAATTAGAAATCTTTTAAAGTTGCTTTTCTAAAATTGTAATAAAATACTTGAAAAAAAATTCTTAGTTAAGGCACTTTTCCTATGTGACGGCCGAAATTTCAGGCTTTTTTCAGGAATTTTTTTTTTCACTTAAAATAAAATAGAATTCTATAACTTATTTTACATGTTATAATTGGTGTCTAAAAGTATACAAAAAAATTTTTTTTAGTGATTTTTCAAATCATTTAATAATTATTTTTGTGAGGATTACTGTTATCTTGTGAACCTAAATAAACAATTTATCTTAATAAATAACAAAATGGCGAACTAAAAAAAAAATCGATTTTTGAAATTTTTTTTTTAGTTCGCCATTTTGTTATTTATTAAGATAAATTGTTTATTTAGGTTCACAAGATAACAGTAATCCTACTGAGTAAAACTACTATTGATTTTTTTATTTCAGACAATACTGAAAAAAGTTATCGTTGTCACCGTTCACCCGTGCATTTTCAAAGAAGTCACCTTTGACTCACAAAAATAATTATTAAATGATTTGAAAAATCACTAAAAAAAATTTTTTTGTATACTTTTAGACACCAATTATAACATGTAAAATAAGTTATAGAATTCTATTTTATTTTGAGTGAAAAAAAAATTCCTGAAAAAAGCCTGAAATTTCGGCCGTCACATAGGAAAAGTGCCTTAAAACTATGAAAAATTCAGATTTTAAAACCTTTCCAAAATTCAATTATTATCTAAAATTTTAACTAAAATTCATTTTTTAATCAATTTTTATTAGAAAATTCTATGAGAATTCAATGATTTAAATACAAAAATAATATGTTATTGAATAATTGAATGCTTCTTAAAATCAATTTCTCATAAAGAATTATATCAACTTAAATAATTGAATTCTTTCGACGAATTTTAATAAAATTTTTAAGAATAATCACATTTTTCGAGGAATTCGATTAAAATTGTGCTAAAAGTAATTGAAATTCTGCGGTGAGTTTTATTATTCATGAAAATAATTGAATTCCTAAAAAGAATTTTATGGAAATAATTTAATTATT